AGTTTCCTATTAAACAATAGGAAAGAAAAAATGCTAGCCAGGCACCAGTGACTCACCTGTGTAATCCTAGCTACTCAGGAGGCAGAAATCAGGAGGATTGAGGTTCGAAATCAGCCTGGGCGAGACCCTCTCTCAGAAAACAACAACAACAAAAAACTTCATCACAAAAAAGAGCTGGTGGAGTGGCTCAAGGTGAAGACCCTGAGTTCAAATCCCAGTACTTCCAAAAGAAAAAATGCTTATCAGAGAAATCTTTGAAGATAATGAAGAGGTGAATATTATGTAAGTTTATGAGAGACAGAAAAGTAGTCTCAGTAAAGTAAAATCAGGATCCTGTATTGCTGGCAAATTTTTCAGATTATTTTTTATTTTCATTTTGGGGTTGTTTTTTTGATATTCTTAAAGGGTAAATTTCATCATATTGGGGAAGTTGCAGAAGCTAGTTCAGAGAGAGTACTCTCTACCCACCTTCTCCTCTGTTAGCTTCTTGCATGGCAATAGGACAATTGTCAACACTAAAAAGTTAGCCTCCACTCACTGTTACTGACCTTACTCACGTATCACCCATGTTTCCACCACGTCCCCTCACTGTCCCAGGATCATACAATGTGTTTCATCATCGCTTCTCCTCTGGTTCCTGCATTGATCCTCAGCCTTTCTCATCTTGCATGACCTTGACGAAGAGTATTGATTGGTTATTAGAAGAATGTTTTTCGTTTTAGGCTCTTTTTAAGACACACTTTATAATAGGATTGAGGTTTTGTGTTATTGGGGAGGATCCCACAGGGGCTGTGCTTTCCTCAGCTTATCACATCAGAGGCACTTGATGTCACTACATATTAATCACACTGACTGTTATCACTTGACCAAGTCCATGTCTGTCAAGAGTCTGTACTGTAAACTTAATATTTTCCCCTCTGTAAATACTCAATATTTGAGACCACACAAATGCCTTGGATCTTGACTGTGATAAGTGCACTGTGGTGTTCTAATTTATTAACTGGAATTATCTGGAAGGAAAGTTACCATTTCTCCATTCACTCATTCATTGATCCATGTGGACTCAAGGACACGTGTTTTATGTCTTGGGTTATGTCCAATACTGTCATTACTTATGCCTGCTCGGTTTCCAGCATCAGCCATGGACACTGAAAGTGCATTGAGGAATGTTCCTGTGTCCTTCCAGCCTGTCCGTGTCTTCTTTATTTTTAAGCAGTTCTTTACTTTCTGGCACCCAGGATGTTCCAGTCCAACAATAAACCATTTTTCTAAGGATCCCTGGCCCTTTTTACAAGGGAATTGAATTTAGAAACCAAGCCCTGGGTACTGGTTTCTGTGCTCATTGCCCCTGAACTGTCACTGCTTCTAGTGCCTCTTCTTGGACAGAGTTAGGAAGCCTATGTTCACATGCCAACACACAGACACCTGTGCACGTCTGCCACATTCACATGCACTGAGACTTCAGTTCCAGGCCCCCACCACTGGCTCTGTTCTACCTTCTCCATTTCCTTCCTCTTAACTTCTTTCACCAACAGTCTGAAGTCTGGTTCTCACCTATGATTGGCTATATGTTTGTTCTACTCTAGTACACAAATAAAATCGTTTTAGAGCTCTTCATCCACGGCTCTGTAAGAAGATTTGCAACTATAATCAATGTGTCCTGCTTTTTGCCTTTAACCTTCACAGTACCCAGTCACTTCTCTCTTTGCTGACGTTTCTGACATCAGAACCTTCCTCCCCATCCTCTTTAGTTCAGCTCTCTACCATCTAACACAAGATGTCTAGCTTTGAATACAAAATTACAAAGCATGCAAAAAGGCAAAAAGTTCAAGACCAGTCAGATATGACACAGGTATTATAACTGACAGAATTTAAATGATTATTGTTAATAAGTTTGAGGCTTTAATGGGAAAGGTGGTGTAACATGTTTTTATGCTTGGAATAGGCACCCCTCTCCCACTGGGCCGTTAGTGTGGAAGCAGGAGTTGGACTGAGTTAGAATACCTGTCCTCACTGCTCCAAAGGCTTCTGATTGCTGTAGACACCTTGTGGTTTTGGTTTATAAGAATAATGTCTGTTCAGTACTCTAGTTTTAGGTCTTCCTGTTGTGCTATGCTTTGGAGAGGGTCTCTGCACCTTCTTGCCTTTCCTGTCTCTCTGCAGTTACCTTCCAGCTCCACAATGTGACACTGGAGGTAGAGGAAGACCATGGGCTACCTCTCTTCTGCCTGGCCTCCCTCTTGTATGTGTGCCATGCTCGTACCTTTCTGGGTTATGACTTTCTCATACCTGTCCCTGGGATCTGCTGTGTTCCTGTCCCTCCCCAAGGAGCTGGGTTTGTTTTTTTCTCCTGTACTCTTTTTCTATTACAGTGTGTTTTCACCAATGTCCTGAGGACACCAGTGCTCATTGCCTTCCCCTCACAGAATAAGGCTTTTGTCTCCCTAGTGGGAAAGGAGAGTTGGATCCAGGTGAAGTTCTTTCCTCTCCTATGAGGCTTCAGCTCCTCTCCCAGATCTGGATCACAGTGGATGCTTCTTGTACTCTTTATTGAGGCCTGTATGGGTTTATGACATGGTGCCTACCAAGAGTCCCAGGGGTGTCACATAGTCCTGTCAGTTCACACATGGCTCCAACCAACTATTTTATTCTGTCAACCATTTTACCTGAGCAGTTCTGATCAGTGGTCTGTTGCATCTGCCCCAGGTGACATGAGCTTACTTCTTTTCGCTATTTCCTTCTTTCCTGCCTCTCCTTGGATTTGGGGTTGTTTGATTGCCTAGGACTCAGCTTTTCAATGTGTTGGGGTAAAGTCAAAGTTAGGCCTACTCCTTTATTTTGTTTTTACAAAGTAGTCATCTTTAAGGTAACGCAAGTCCCATCCTAGCTAGACTTTGCAGCAAGGTTAGCCTTGGATGAGATCAGACTTCCTCTTCAGTAGCCTGTTCTCCTGGCCATCCAATCCCCTGCAGTCATCTCCTTTCTCCCTTTAGAAGAAGATGCAGCTCTAAAACCATCTGATCTGCCACCAGTGTGGCAAATTCGAGTCAAACTGAGGATGACTCTCTAATTGAAGAATTTCAAACATCAGATAAGATGCCTAGGCACTTGGAGTAAGAATAAGTCCCTGAGTTTAATCTCCAGTACCACCCAGTTATGATGGTGAACTGAGAAGTGAAACTTGACTAGACTTTGGTGCTGGAGGTGCGGCTCAAGTGGTACAGCACCAGCCTTACAAGCATGAAGCCCTGAGTTTGAACCTTGGTCTGACCAAAAAACAAAAAAATATAAAAACTAAGCTCATTGACTTAAAGCCTTTGTTCTTTAGCTGGACACCGATGCCTCACGTTTGTAATCCTAGCTACTTGGGAGGCTGAGATCCAGAGGATCATGGCTTAAGGCCTTCCCAGGAAGATACTTTATGAGACCCCTATCTCCAAAATAACCAAAGCAAAATAGACTAGAGGTGTGATTCAACCAGTAGCATGCCTGCTTTGCAAGCACAAAGCCCTGAGTTCAAAACCCAGACCTACCCCCCAAAAAAAGTTACGTGGTGTCTCTGAAGATATTTTATACTGTACCTCCTCTTCTTTTTGTGATGAGGTGAGATAATACAGAGCCCCACTTTGAGATAAAATGAGGTGAATGATGTGAGCATGATGGTATAGCATTAGATTCCATTGACCTTCTTACTTAAACAGAAGCCCTGTGATACTGCAGCAGTCCATCTGACAGTACTGAGCCCTCTGGTTCTATCCAATACAGCTACTCAGTCATAAATGGGCTGGTATTGTACAGTGTGGACAGGCTGGACAATGGGACAATTCATGTCCTGGGTGGGATGGAGCAGGATGATGCACAAGTTAAAACTTAGTGCTTACTTCTGGGATTTTCTGTTTAATATTTTCTAACTGCAATTGACTGAAGCGAATAGAAGCAATACCACAGATATGTCTGGACTACTGTGCATGTAAATGCAGAACCTATCACAGTTAAACTGGTCTGATTCACTTATATCTCAGTGACAGAGAAGTAGGGCAGATGTTTTTTATTCCTACCTAAACGTATTAAAGTTTGTTAGCATTCCAAGTGAAAGAGCCTGTAGTGTACAAGATTTTGAAAAGGAATAGTTTTTAAACAAGTTCCACACGAGCATATGAGAATTTTGAAACTACCTGGATCATTCTAAGTATTCCTCCATAACCCAGTCTCGTGTAGTCTATGACGTTCATATCAGTGACTTTTAGATGATGTCACTCTCCCTTTAAGAAATGGATCAAGGGCTGGCAGAGTGGCTAACTTGGTAGAGGGCCTGCCTGACAAGCTTGAGGCTTTGAGTCCAAACCCCAGTACTGCAAAAAAAAGAAAAGAAAAGGAATGGATCAAATCATGTAATACAAAAAGCTGAAAGAAAATTAAAAAATAGTAACAGAAGAAGGCTTAAATATCAGATGGATATTACTACTGAGAGAACAATGGATACATGTCTACAAAGTAGTTCAAATTTAAAGAAAGTTATTTTGCTTACAGATCAAATGGCCATCAGTTTTTGTGTTTTAATTTGTTCAATTAAAAGAAGACTTTAAAAAGTAAGTAAAGAAAAACAACTTAGGTAAAGAGCTGACCCTTTATTAACTTCTCATATAGTTGTCAAAGTTTAAGAATTTTCCAGGCGTTGTTAGAAGCTTTGATTTCTCATTTGCTTTATATTTCACCCTCTGCCTATCCTTTACTCTTCTGAAGTTTGCTCCATGTTCCCCATCCTGAACCTGCCTGCCCCAGCCATGCCCCTGTCCCTCGGTGCCCCTCTTGGAGCTCCTGTTGGCCAGCTGACTGACTGCTGCTTCTCCCTATCATTCTCCTCACCTAGAATGTATGCTCTGTGGGTGGCCCCTGTCCATCACAGTCCTCATGATATAGCCGAGCTTCTAAAAATTAACAGATTGCATTTGTGTACTCATAGAGAATTCTGTAACAAACCCTCTTGGTTGTTTTATTAGATGAGAAACAAAGGTTCAGTTACGAGCGGTCTGGATATGATCTTGAAGAATCTGATGGCCCAGATGAGGACGATAATGAGAATGAAGAGGACGATGAAGACAGCCAGGCAGAGTCTGTCCTGTCAGCAGCACCCTCAGTCACAGCCAGCCCACAGCATCTTCCATCTAGGAGTGGCCTTCAGGACACTGTGAGTGCAGATGAGGAGCTCCACGTTACTGACTGTTTCTCTGCAGCACACACAGACCCCACGGATGTCCTGCCCAGGGCGTTACTCACCAAGATGACTGTTCTGCGAACAGTGCAGTCTGACCACAGCAGGAAGACAAACTCGCCAGGAAAGGTCAGGCAGCAGGCTGCGAAAGATGAGGATGGGACAATCGCTTCTGTAGAGGCTGCCAGGTCACCAGAAGCTGCTCCCAGATCCCCCTGTCATCAAATGTCTGTGGACTACCCCAAGTCAGAGGTTCTGAGAAGTTCTATGGCTGGAAAGACTGTCACTTCAACACAGGTAGATGATTGGCTATGTTTGTTTTCCTTTGTAACCTGTTACATATGGGAGCCTAATAGCATAACAAATAATGCGCCTAAACAATTCGCTATGTCCAAAGCAGTTTATATTATTTCATTGTTATATTTAGTGGCAGAAATCATTTATGTCCATTGGAACCTTGTTAAGTATCTTAACAAGCGTTCGCATATTGTGTTGTAAATCTGTGAAAGAGACAAATGCTTGAAAAATACACTCATTACTGTTGCTTTGTGAAAAACACTGAAATGAAATGTGTGTATGTGCTAATTGTGAGCACGCATCCTGGGACTTACTTACTTACTTACAACGAATTGTTTTTCCACTGCTGTTGATGTGGCATGTTTGCAACACATTGTCCAAATGTTTTGGGCTTTGCCCCCACTGGCAAAACAGCTACTAGTTTTCATGACAAAGTTAATGTGACCCAAAAATGTTTCAAGTTCACGTTGCTTGGATAATCAGATTGCTGTGGCTGCTTGGGAAAGCTTCTTCCCAAGAGCTAGCATGGAGCCAGACACAGGCTCAGAGAGGCCCAGGAAGCACACTGGGTGCTGCCTGCTTCCCATGACTGTCTGGTGACCAGTGACAATTCTTGGAATAGTGCATTCTTCTCCCACTGACAGTTCTCCTACCTCTCACATGTGTTGAGTAGTGCAAAAGAATTCTTTTCTAAATTGAACAGAAAAATACAAGGACTATAAGTGCTTCCTATCCTAAATCAATATAATTTAAGTATGTAAGTGTTTAAATTATACTAATACAGAAATTAAATTAACATATAAATTAATATTATGTAGCTATTATCAAGACAAGGCTAATGTTTACATACTAATCTTGGGAGATGGGCAAGAGTTATCACTTCCAACATTTCTTTACTTCAACTTGAAGTAAAGAAATAGCACACTCTATGCTACCCTGTCCCCAAATCCCTCATACCTACCACACCTGGAAATCTGGTATTTAGGAGACATTTCATAAACTTACAAATAAGTGAGCAAATAAATAAACAACTGCAGACCTTTGTCTTGGTGACAACAATTTACTTCATGAGTGAATAATCTTAGTTAATTTTTCCCCAGTTGAGTTGATGCTCACAGCCAACTATGGCAATTTCTCACCAACTCCATATTTCTAAAATAAGTTGGAGCTGATGGTGTCAGGAATAATGACAGCAACATAAGTAAGAATATAACCTGGCTACCTGTCCGTTATTCTTAGTATAAAATGTGAGAGGATATCTCGAAAATCTGTTTGAAAATATACAGTGCTATACAGAACGTGTTCCTGTTACTTGTACTAGGAAAGAAAGAAATTAAAGATGAGATAGTTTTTTGTTGTTGTTGGAA